AGCACAGCATCTGGTACTAGGTATAAAACCACAAACTAAAACAAATTAGCAATTAAAATATTGGGAGAATAAAAAGGTTTTTGCCTGGCACTGAAAGGAAAGAAGTGTCAGTGCCAGGCAGATCTCTCTGGGGAGTGTGTTCCACAGTTAGGGCACCACTGCAGAGAAGACCCTCCTCTAGGTAGCTACCCTCCTGATCTCTTTCAAGGAAGGCTCTGAAAGGAGGGCCTCTGCCTCAGAGGGCGCAGTTATGGGGGCACAGGTTGGATTCACCTCTCTAGAAGTTGAGGAGCTACTCAAGTCCCTGGATGTTACAAAGGTACTGGGCGCTGGAGGGTTACACCTGAAGGTACTTCAGGAATTGGCAGGGGTGCTCTTGCATCCGTTGGCCTACATTTATGAGGCCTCACGGAAAATGAGAGAAGTTCCGGGTGACTGGAGGGTGGCATCAGTATCCTCTTCAAAAAGGATAGCAGAAGAGATATGAGCAAATACAGGCCAGCCAGCCAGCCTCAGGTCTATTCTGGAAAGACTATGGAAAGGTTCATAATAGGGAAAGCTCTAGAAACCCAACATAAGGATGGGAGGTAGACAGCCACACAGCACAGTTTCCATAAAAACAGATCCCGCCGGACAAGCCTTATGGAATTCTATGATAAGGTCTCAAGGTGGCTTGAAAGAGGGCATGTGCTAGGTGTGGTTTACCTGGACCTCAGCAAGGTCTTTGACAAAGTGCCACATGATATCCTGCTTGAGAAATTGTTGAGCTTTAGGATAGATCAATGCACTGTCCGATGGATTACAGCATGGTTGATGAACTGCAAGCAGAGGGTGACTATCAGTGGGAATCATCATGATGACAGCCAGACACGAGGGGAGTTCTCCAAGGCTCAGTTCTGGGACTGATTCTGTTCAACCTTTTTCAATGACATGGAGAAGGGGATAACCAGTCTGCTGACTAAATTTGCAAATGATACCAAAGTGGGGGCAGTGGCCACAACTGAGGAGCATGGGATCCCGATCCAGAAGCATCTGAGCAGGCTGTAAAAGGGGGCAGGGGACAACAGGATGGCATTTAATGTGAATAAGTGCAATGTCTTGCACTTGGGACACAGGAATAAGTGTCACGGGTACAGGATGGGTGACAAATGGCTGGACAGCAGCACTTGTGAAAGAGATCTCAGGATACTTGTCAACAGCAGGCTGAACATGAGCCAGCAGTGTAACGCAGTGGTTAAGAAGGCAAATGCCACACTTGAATGTATAACCAGAAGCATGGCTTCCACATCTAGGGACGTGTTGGTACATTACAGGAGAGACATAGCTAGGTTGGAATTGGATCAGTGCAGGGTCACAAGAATGGTAGCTGGGTTGGGAGAGATGACATATAAGGAGCGATTGAGAGAACTGGGTCTTTTTGGCCTGGAGAAGGATACTCCAAGGGGATCGTTTAGCAACTTATAAGTATGTGAAGGGATCTCATGTGGAGGACGGCCGTGACCTGTTGTTCCCTGCAGTAGAGGGCAGGTTGCATTCCAATCAGGCAAAGCTCAAGGACCAGGCTTCAGGTTGGATGTCAGGAAGTACTTACTGATGGTTAGGACCCTTAGGATAAGCAATGGACTTCCAAGGGAGGTGGTTGAGGCCCCATAAGTGAGGTGTTCAAGGAAAGATTGGACAACCACATAAGCGGAGCTGGCTGGAGCTGGGGATCAGACTAGATGGCTTGGGAGGCCCCTCCTGACTAGATTTCTGTTATTAGGTACACTCATTCAAGGTGTTTTTTTAATGGTCCATTATGTTGCTACCAGAATATGAACGCTTGTCTCTGTAGCTGCCTTCCAATTGGCTGCCTTCCAACTGGACACACAGTGGAAAATAAGGTACAGCACATGCGTGTTGTCATGGATGAACCATAAGATAGAATACATAGTTTGCTGTGATTAAGGATTTATAGAACTTGCAATCATTCATAATATTAGTTATTATTTTGTGAATAAAACAGACAACCATTTCTGCATCAGAACTGGACACATTGCTGTTGATGGGAACCCACACCTATGCTATCAGATTGTGCCGATTCACAAGTCCTTTAAAAAAAAAAATATTTACTTTGAGAAGCAGGTGGTTAAACCCTTAGGAACTTAAAAGAGGGGAACTAATTCCCAAGGATATATTTTAGGCATTATCTTCCCTCTTCCTCAGATTCTGCCGATGTTGTATTATGTTTGCAAGCCTTTGGAATAAACACACATTTAAAATTTACTTGTAAGGGTTGATGCCACATTAAACACGTGAGGCTGAAAAGATGCCTGCAGGGACACCGCTTCAAGCAAAAAGCAAGGATTAACTGCTACTCAATGAAGATGTAAACAAGCCATTTCTGAAGGCAGCCTGATTTCTGGCATTGTAAGATCTTAAATGGTTTTTTGTAGACACACATGTGAAATAATTGGGACAGGCTGACATCTGATGACTTCAGTTCTTAATAGTTACTATCCTTCCAGCAGGCTGTCCTTGTTACTTTTTAAAGCTGCTTTTAAATCACCACCATCATTTTAGAAACAACCCAACACTGGCCTAAAAATTTAAATACAATCCACTGTAACTTACAATAAGCTGACAAGGTGTATTATTCTTTCATAAAAAGTGTAACTAATATAATAACTTTACAATATAATTAACTGTTTCATTTTGACAGAGATACTAAGCATTCTTCTAATTGAATGACTCCTGGTCCTTAAATATGTCATCAGTATCAAGCAATTTGCAAAAGTAAATACATACATTTTTAAATAAGAAAATATACCATGGCTGGAATAAATTTTTGGACATTAAGTGTCTTATTTACAATGATGTTCATCATAAGATAGCATCAACATGACAGGTATAGATACTTTTGGGGTACCAACAGTAGAAACCTAACAAAACCAAACACAACACAGGAAGATCAAGGCCAGTTAGATAAATTGGATTGGAATGACACAGGTACAGAAATAGGCAGCCATTCTGGAACATGGACACATTTGGTAATTTGAGAAACTGTCCTGGGCACCATCATCACAGAATAGGTGTAGTACAGATGAAAGCATCAGTTGATAGCCACTTGCCATCTTCATTTCCTAAGAAAATATTTGGACAGTATCTAACAGTCTTGAGGGCAAGATGGCATGGATGGCAAACTCCTCCAACTGAACAGCTTATTTCTTTTGAGGTATCCCCACTGGATCAAGAACTGGATTTTGCATCTGCTCCTCTTCCCCTCCTGAAAACCTTCATCCCCTTCCAAAAACTGGCTGATTTTCACATTCAGATAAACTTTACTCAACACAACTGAAAGAGCTTCAATGCGTCGTTCCCCCAACCCTTTTCTAAATCCGCCAATGACTCCCATGGGACAGTGCACAATGTATGAGAGACTGGACTGCTATCTACACTAACTTCTTGGTCTTGGACAACTTCAGTGAACACCCAAATGTTGGTGGCATGGCCTAGCCCATGGTTAGAGCTGTGACCAAGACAGACACAGGTAGGGTAAGGTTGAGGACTCCAAAGTGGGCAGGAGTTTTCTTTCTCCATTATCTTGGAGAATACCTCCACTTGCACTTTCAGCCCTATTTCTATGAGTCTGTTTGATGAAGGCCTAGCAAGAGTCTACAATGTGGTCATCTCATAGGCAGAAGAGGCAAAGGAAGTGCCAGTCAGTAGGTGGGATTTTGCTCCTACAGGGGAAATACTTTCTGACGGGTGGCTTCAGTGCCATATTGGGCAAGAAGGAAAAAGATTTCAGAAAGAAAGTAGTAGTAGGAGGTGCAAAGAAAGGAGGCAGAAATAATGATCATGAATTCTGAGGAAAGATGAAGGGGAACTATCTGTATTTACTTATCTATCTATTTATCTATCTATCTATGTAAAGGGATGGAAAGAATAGGAAAGCAAGAGAAGAAAAATAGATTGGAGGACAAAGCAAACATTTTAAAAAGTAACTAGAAGAAGAAAAAGTAGTAAGAAATAGCCTGAATCTCAAGGAATCAACCTTCTGAGGCACTACAATGGGAATGAGAAGCTCAATATACTGAATGTCAAAGGTAGGGGAAGGGTTCCTGCCAAAACTCTCAGCTGTGAAAAGGTCCCAACAACAGGCTCCATGCAGGCACAGACCTCATGTGTGTGATGCACAGAGACCGCCCCCCCAAGAAGAACCAGGGATGACTGCCATAAGTGTTTTCCATATTGTGCCCTAGAAAAAGCTGACAGAAAGCCAGCGCTGTAATGGATCATAAATAGAGGAGCAAGCAGGAACTGTTTGGAGCATGCATAGAGACATTATGGGGCGTTCCCACTTAAAACACTATTTAGCTCTAGAATGTTCTGAAATACAGTTCTTTGTAAGTATATAACCCTTTATATGGGAGTCACAGAAATAAAAACTCTGCACTCCCATTTATTACTTACTCCTCTTGCCCCAGCAAAGACCAAAGTGACCCACTTCCATCTACACTACAAACCTTTAACTGATTCTTCCGCGATATCCTGAGCATTGTACTATCTGATGTACAGACATTCAAGTCCAGCTAATCCTACACACACAACTAGAATTCCAAGGGTTTCTAGTCTGCATCTCCATTGAAGAGATATTCTAAGTGCTTGCAAAACCCACTAACTGAAACTGCACAGATGGGTGGAATATAGAACATAGATATTCTATACTGGGCAGCTTCGGGGTGAAATATCATACATGAGAAAACAACCAAAGTAATTTGAATAGAAGTGGTATGGCAGGATAGACATGAGTTCCAGAGTGCATTACCATATCATGAAAGATAACTCTACCATACCATGAAAGATAACTGTACTAAGGGATAATCTACGTTTATTTACTTATTCATTTCACACAATATTATTCATCTGTAAACACTGGGTTTTTCTCTACTGCATGCAAAAGAGAGACTGAGCAAGTTTTATGTAAAAGCAAAGACTGTTAAGTGAACCACTCTTACCTGAATTGTTTGTGGGAAACCAACTTTCTCTTCAGTGCTTAATGTTTTGATAAACTTTTGCCATAAATATTGTTTTTTCCAAAGACTTTCATGCTTTCTCCAGCCTCTGCTTGTAATCTTACATTCGGTACAGAAAAAATAGAAGACACTGTGGGGAAAAATAAATTAATCTTGTTTGTTTTTTTAGTTCTTAAAGTGGTGAGATCCTGTAGAAATTAACTTTCCTCTCTAAACATGTGTCCTAACATTTACACAAGTTCAGAAAGAAGAAAAAAAACATAGACAATTATTTTTTAAATGGGAGATGGTTGTCCCACTTATGAATCAAAGTCATCAAACTCTTACATTACTCTTTCATTCCAGGCCAGGAACCTTATGCATCTGCTTCTAAAAACACTACCAAGGAAAACAGCTTAATTAGGACAGCTTCGCCTTCCATCTACCCAGGAATGCTTGAAGAGTGGTGCAGCATAAGGGAAAGCCAGAAGAAAAGTCCTGGACAGAGAGCTCATGCTATCATTTCTTAGGCAGCTAGTGACAGGAATAGAGCAGGTCAGACTAACCATTTGATAAATGGTTTATGTTTTGTAATTTTTGTATTTTTGCTTTATAACCCTTTTTATTGTAAATCATCCTGAGTGCCTTGACAGAAAGTTGGTACATAGACTTTGTCAACAAATAAATATCATGGCAATTTGTTGGGATCAAACCTGAACATATCTGAGGATAAATTCTGTCTTGCCTCTTCTTCCTTACCTCTTCCTTCAGTTTCTGGATCTGAAAGTCTTTCCCACACATGGCCTTGGGCACTTCTGTGATCTTGTCTTCACCAAGGGCTACTCTGCTTCTCTGTTCTAATCTTCCCTCTGTCTGATCATCACTGTACATTGTTCAACACTCATATTCTGCCTCCTGCTTTTTTTTCTTTTACATCTAGCCCACTGACCCAGTACTTTACCTGAAGCACAGCGACCTTATTGCCATTCTACCTGTTCCTTAGACTCTGTAAGTTCCATCTTCTGACATGTTTCCCTACTCTCCTGAACTATTCACCCCTCTTCATTCCCAGCCTGGTTCACTGTTTCTGTTCAATATTTCTGTTTAAGTTCTCATGAAGCTGAATGCCTCTAGACAAGAACAAAACTTGCTGATTTTGTCCACTAAGTTTCAAGGCCTCCTCCTTATCTACAATATATCTGGCCATAGCCTACCATACTGCTCCAATTTATTCCAGTTTTGGAAATCCTAAGTGTCTCCTGTCAACCTTCCCCCTCCTCTTTTGACTCACTTATAATCCTAAGTCCCTTAGGAGAGTGATCTGTTTTCTCATTCTTTATACAGCACCATGTTCATGGATGGCATAAAAATAGTTAACAAAAGAAAAATGCATTAAATGAACATAAAAAGTTGTCTTCCATCTTGAGAAGAATGGTACATCCTAAATGGATCATTGATTAAACTTTGGAACAAGACACAGGTATTTTAAGGTATGCTGACTTGACTATTAATAGACTACAGTCGTCCAAATTCAGCTGAAAGGTCCAGCTGCATGAAAGGTCCAGTATTAGCTTGAAAATATATAGGCTATGCCATTACAACACACCTTTTCATTTTGGAAGACTTCAGCGTTGTTGGTCAAGAATGCAGATTAACAATCATTACACAACCCTCTCTCCAGCTTCCCTAGTCATTTATATACCACCTTCCTGCCAACAAAATGGCGTGCAAGTCAGTTCACAAGAAAAAAAATTAAAAACTTAAGTATAAAATAACATAAAACAAATTAATTTAAAATCCAATTCAAATAAAACAATTTAAAAAAATAAAAAGCATCTGAGTAATTAGATTATCCTTTGGCAACAGACCATCAATAGGAAAGGGCTGTCTGAATAAAAATGTCCTTGCCTGCATACTGGCTGAGGGATTCAAAGAAGGAGAACAATATGCTTAAGCAGGGCGCTTCAGAGCTTGGGAGTGGCCATGAAGAAGGCCTCTCATGTTGCTATCAAGTATGCTTCTGATGGTGGTAGAATTGAGAATGGTCTTCCCAATTATAACGTGCTATGTTTTACCAATGCTGTCTGATGTATGCAGACACATCATTATAAACAGATTAGCTCTGAACAGTGTGATCCAATATGGCTTCCTGTAACCCTCTGAACTTGGAAGATTATGGACATCTTATCAAACGCAGAAAAACACAAAACTGAATAATGCCTCTGTGCTTCTCCTGCTTTGCAAAGCACTCAGATGGCCAATTTCAGCTGTCTAAACTGTTTGCCCCAGATTGCAACAAGACCAAAAACAGGGTGACAGCAGAACTATAGATTATGGCAGAGCCTCTGTCTTCCACACCTCCTGGAATGCCCAGAATTGTGGAGCTAGGAAGCCTGAAAGGCTGAGGGAGGGCGCTCTGAAGTCAGAGTCCCAGTAACAGCCCAACTCTTCTTGAAGACTACAACTTTAAAATTTCCTTATATGTTGTGTTGCATATGAGCTGCAAACAAACTCTACATCTTTTAATACTGTATTAGTTTGCTGCTATTCGCATTTTTGATGTTTACTGTTCTGATCATGTATTTGTTGCCAGCCACCTAAAATACATTATAAATAATTTCACTTAATTAAAATAAATCTAAACTGCTCTTCTTCCAAAAAGTTGCCAGGGCAGTGTACAATAATAATAAAAACAATACACTACAATTTATATACACACTTATACCCACAATGCATATTCAGCTCAATTTGTGAAGTGTGACTGTGAGGATGGGATTCTTTTCAGCAGTGTCCAAGTGAGGGCCATTGTGTTTACACAGGCTCCAATGGCTATGGCTTTATGTATGCAGTGTATCTAAATTCACACAAAGTAATTATTTCTGAAATAGTTCTATAAACACACTAAAGGATTTGCATACTGATTTTTTCTTAATTATTAAAGATAAGGAATGCCTACTTGTCAAGTTTTTCTGAAGACCTCTGTGCTAAAAGAAAGAACTCTGCATATGTCTACATGAATTCCGTAAAGAGAAATCTATAACTTTAACTTTGAAGAAGAATTTGTGGCTCCTGATTTAAACTGTACTGGGTGTAAACACAATTTAAACTGATGCAACATTTAAGTAGGAAAGCTTTCCAGGTGCACAGAGAAAGCACCATAACTTGTCTGTTAAATCATCAATTCCCAGTGTAAATTCCCTCTCCCCAACAAAAAGAGATACAACTTCATTGTTTTTTAAAAAAATATGTCTGCAATTTCTATGCATGCACACCAAATGGAAACAATTATAGTATTTGATACAGGGATTGCCCTTTCTTGCATATGGATTTATGCTCTATAATGATTATCTTCTAGACACAGAAATAGTGTTTCTGTAACTCAGAAAATTTTACTGGAGGCATTTAGCAGAACCTTGCCTTAAAATATAATGATTTTTCATCTTTATTCTCCCCCTTCAAAAGGTTTCACTGCTCCTGATGTTTAACGTTATGCAAAGACGTGTTTCTGCCAATGAATATCGCCTTATGGTTATGCTTCTGCAAATAACCTGCTGTGAGCTGATAAAAGGATTAATGCAGCCAAAATTCTTAATCTGTGAAATTACAAATTAAATTCTCATATTAAAAATACCACCCTGAGGTATTTTTTGTGGTTTTAATTCCCCTCTGGTGTTCTGCATACATTGTGCTTGTTAATGACTAGGACAAGACTGTCTCTGTTGGCAGCCTGCTGCACAGTGATAATGTGTAGGCATTTACTTCAGTGATAGAACCGGATTTAACCACCAACTGATAAACTAAGTGGCAAGTGGGTAATAAGTCCATATTAACTGAAAAGTATTACTACAGAATTCATCAACTATCAAAATCCTGGCTAGACTAAAATGTACAGTCAGACAGGATTGAGATGTCACCCACATTAAATAATATTTAGTTATCTTTTTTACCAATTAAATTAGGGGGGGGGAACAAACAAATAAAACTTGCATTTTCTGTGCCTGAGTGGTCATGAACTAAGGAGCCACTTCATATTATTTACTTTCAGCAAGAGACTAGGCTTCCCAGCTTAGCTCATTAAATTATACTGAATGTTTCAAAAATTTTGGAAATGCTTGCAGTGGACTGAATGTTTTGGAAAATTATACTGAGCATTTTAGAAAATTCTGATTGTATCATGCAATGGAGAACAGACTATACAGGTCAAGAAATGGGTGTACTTACTCCTCAGAACTGCGGAGGGGTGCTGAACTATATTAATATATGCCTAAAGACAGGGGAAATGTTCTTGGATCAGCAGCACTAATTTTTTTAGTTCTTTAAAATATGTGTTTCTACTAAAGAAGATGTGTTGGGGCAGATTTCTTGCCAATTTGAAAAGCAGGTTCTTAGGGAGTTTCAGGCCAAGTTTGTGCCAGGCCATTGAAGAAAGACAATCCCTGAAGCCCAGCTACTCCAAAGAACCTTCAATGACCTCCTTTTTCTGGAAAAATTCTCTCAGATTCAGGAACAGGGTAAATGTAGTGGGTTTTGTATATTATTTTTCCATAATAAACTCATGTAAAGAGGGTAGCAACAGCTGAAAGACAGTACAGAAGAAATGAAATGACTGAACAGTTCCAGTTGGACTGTTGATCTATCCAACTCAGTACTGTCTACATCTGCAAAAACCAGCAGTAGGTCTTCACCATTTTAGTCAAGAGTCAAGGTGCCAGACACTGAACCTGAGACTTTTGCATATAAAGCATGTGCTTACTACAATCATGGCTCTTCGCTGTAGGATGTCTGGGTCCCATGAGCAAATTAGTGTCCAAGGGCTGATTTTATGAACCATATATCATTTCCACAAGTTGCCTCAGCTTTGTTGTACACGTGTACAGCAAAACTGGGTAGCTACAGTGCCAGCATGAACACAGATTCTGATGCAATTAGGTATGATCTTTGAATCACTCAATCTGTATATGTGTAAAAGCACTGAAATGTCCCTTCCAATGGGCCTAACAAAAACAGTGCAAAAAAAAGTTGACAGAGAAACAAATCGTACATAGACAAATCGTTTTTCACAAGTAAGCACACTACCCAATTCAATTTTGTCCATCATACTGGCATAACTATCACCTGAAAGTGAAATTGGTTTATAATGCCATATTGGTATAATATTTTTGCTATCTTATCTAATGTAATTATGGATTTAATAGTTCTATAATTATGCTTTAAATACAATAAAATATAGTCTTTTGCTTCATAAAAGCTGAAATCATTAAAAGTAACTAACATCCCCTTAAGAACATTTTACCCATAATAATAGTATGTTTTATTTGAAATTATGAACCATGTGTGAATGCTGAAAACATTGTCCAGCAATAAAAACCTGAACTCATCTATATTTAAAATTAAATATTGTCTTATTTGTATTTCTAAGTTTTCTAAATACCAAACTTTCTTTGGAAAGGTTACTGTTAGTACACACATAGTATCAGTGGATGTTTGTGTTACTTAAAAACTACTGCACATTATAGAGTGAAAAAACACTAAATATTTAAATTGTATTTCCCTCCCCTTTTTTCTTTATGACATTTCACATCATTCTCATGACTGTGAACAAAATCAAACACAATGATAAATAGCTACATATTGCACAGTAGTGATACGAAGGGAGAACCCATTTTTCCTGTGTCAAGCAAATTAGAACCTTAACTACAGAATCTCTCACACACATGTACACAGACTCATTTATTTTGTCCAGGTGTTTTGTCATACTCACTGTCTGTTAGTTCCCATAGCCGTGGGGGGAGATCACTGAAATACTCATGGCTCAGAGCTGCCTGTGCTGACAATCTGTTCTTTGGGAAACACTGCAGTAATTTGGAGGCCAGATCCTCTGCATGGTTCACATAGCTTAGCCTTAAACAAAGATAGATGGAAGTTAAGTAAAGCAAAAAAAAGTATTCTCACTGGTTATGCTGCATAATACTGAGATCAAGAGAAAATTAAATATAAACTCAGTTCTAAATGAAATACCAACTCAACCACTGCAACTGATATGAATTCTTCATACACACAGACAATATATACTAAGTATCAAGAGTTACCATTAGATCAGGGGATTGAAAACTGATGTTTTTACTGTCGTTACTATCTCTGTTAGTTGTTAACAGACATTTCTAAAGCAAGAAGAGTACAGAAATGGTACTCCCCTACTTTTCAGGGCATTACAAAGCCAGGGCTCTTCACCTTCGTTTCATGGTCACTGAAGAGGCACAGAAACCTCTCAATATTCCCCAGTCCAGTATTTCCCATTTCTAGGCTTCAAACCTTTTGGCAGACCCTGAGAGCAAAGCAAGGCATCTCATCTGTGCTCCTGATGAATGGAAAAATGCATTCAGATGCTCTAACCTTTGCAGACACATGCCTTCCAATTTCTCTATCATCTTTTCCCAAAGCATAACATTGTGAAACCCTGCCAACTGTTGAGCCGTTTGCTCCAGATTTTCCCCGGAGTGAGCAATGCCTCCTAATTTGTGACCACCAGTGGAGCAATGGGCGCTCGCCCCATGAACTCAGTGCTTGTAAACAAATAAAGGGGGCTCGTGCGCACACCCCACCCCATAATTGTGAAATAAACATTAATTACAGAAACCTTGATACATCTTTTTGAACAGACTATAGCCGTTCTTATGTGTATCTTATCAGATTAGTTTTAATTAATCTGATAAGATTATTTAAGTTTTTGTATGCATGTGGGTGTTCAGGTAGACTTTTTTTTTTTTTAGGCTAGGTCCTCTCAAACCATGACTCACAGTGGTAATGAATGCTAGCACATACTAACCTGGTCTGTACAACAGCATGCGAGCCCACCATGGGTTAATTTACCCAGCATGCCATGTGTTATGTGAACCTAGGCAGCAAGGTTAGAGTGAGGATTAAACACTGGTTAAATACCCACATGGCTTGTTGTAGGGCTAGTGTGTGAATGGGTTTGTGGAGCAGGAGGCATGCCACTCTTGATTATATATATGAAAATACAAGAATGTGATCTCTATCAAGGGTGCCTAGAAATGAAAACAAGCTTAATATTGCATGTCAATGTGAGAGTTTATCCAGTTTTGGGGTTGGATCCAGACTTAGTTGCACTTGGTTTCCACCAAAATATGTGTAACCTCAAAGCTTGATTGCAGTGAGAGCAAGGCATGAGTAATTTATGGCACTATCTTTAAATGTTCGCTCAGAAGAACCACTGATATCAATAAGTCTTGTACAAGGTAACTGGGTTTGGGATTGCAGACTTAGTCTGCATCCATTTTTTTGAGTCTAATCTAACTATTATGAAGGATACATGTAGGAAAACTTAAAAACCAAAACAAAACTTTGCTTTTGCATTTCTTGGTTGAAATTCAAACACAGGTCACAGAATCACCCACTGCAGCCCAAATTTTGCAAAAGAAGTTATTCCATGTATTCAAGTAATGGGAATTGTTCTATTGAGGTTTTCTTGACATTTACAAGAAAACACTTCAGAGTGAAGGGCACTTGTAAATGTCAGTACACAGGCTTCTCACAAAGACACATTGGCAGGCACAGGGAGAGAAAAGCATATTTAAATGTCCACATATACCATCTCATGAAAGAACGCTCATATAAATTTAAAATAACTTGGAAGAGTAGACCTTGTATTATATTGTCAAGCTAAATGCCTTCTCAAATTGAGCTGCATGGCTTTTAGCATGAAGGACAAAGTATTTCCAAATGCATGTAAAGAGTACATATGCAGATGTGATCTAGTTTTCAAAAAGAGCTATTAACTGTTTATGACTGAAATAAGGTAATTACATTAACATATGTATGTTTTAATTTTCTCCTTACTAGTGAAGTTTTGCTGTAGAATGATAAAATGTGGACAATATATTTCAAACAAGCAAACTCTTTATGCACATCCAAGACCAAGTATGAGGGGAGGAAAAATGGCTGATCTATTTCTGTAATTAGTTTTTACAGTAATATTTTATACTTTATTTCTGGAAAATATCTGAATTTGTCAGTGCAGAATTATCTATTCAGTGGATGCTTGAAAACCAAAAGTTCAGTATGAGACCTGTTGTCTTAAATTGTTTTGGTTACAAACCAAGAATAAAGTTTAATGGAAAAAATCTACTTTAATGAAAATCATGTATAACACAGTCATGATCTAAACATAAACTAGAACCAGATGATACAAGAACCAGTTCCAACACTATTGAGCATAACTTAGCAGGCACTAACCTGGCCTCTTCAGTGTGAATATGAGGCTTTTATTGGAACTTAATTGGAATTAATAGGTTTGCTTAGCAGAAATGTCCAGTAGACTGTACCCACTTATAACCTTTAACAGCAACACATTCGTATAGAAGAAATCTAGCATGCTCTATAAACACACATCCACAAACACAGGCTGCAAATTAGTGAAAGGGAAAACTAAAATTACTTGAGGTAAATAACCTGACAAGCTATTTATAATTCTTTTATATCCACTTGAAAAGTATATGGGATAAAGTGGCTTTTAAAAAGATTCCTAATAGTATTAGATTTATAGTCTAATTTTGTCACATTTGTCAGTTTGGTAGTACATAAACTTTCACTTAGAAGAATAATTGGCACTTTATTTATAGAAATCAGTTTGACATATTTGTGTAATTTTTAAAAAGTTCATTTTAAGTTTCAGTGGTATAAGTTTGAAGACAGCCATACTAAATACAAGAAACCCAAAAACTGAAATTCATGTACCAGGATGGCACCGAGAAGTATTTCCACATTATTTCTGTAGGCAACATACCAATTACTTGCATGCTCAACACAGTCCTAATAATCTCTTTCTGCAGAGGAAAAAAATAAAAAAGGCTTTGGAAAGGGTCCATCTCAAACTGAAAAGTAGCAGAGAGAAATGCTTAGCCCTTTCTCATTTAGTTATTTTTAATGTTTCAACTATTATCCTAAACTGCTTCTCTCCAGTCATCCATTGAGTTCTTGGTATAAGCAATGCTTTTAAGATTCTGCATCAGCAAAAAGCATGAGGGGGCGGGGGGGGGGGGGGAGAACACATAAAGGTTCAGAAAGAGTTAAAAACCTTCTCTCCACATGCTACTTACCTGCTTGAGATTCAAAACTGCTTTTTCCCCTAGAAAAAGTAATATTAGTTTCTGCCTTATATTGTATGAATGTATGCATGTTGAACAATTATTTTTGATATTCCACCCTCCATTGTAAAAAAATCCCTGACTGCTGAAAAATACAATGTTTCAGTATAAAATCAAATAATATAATCAAAAGGCAGTCAGGAGAAAACTCATTATAAGTACCCTTCAACTATCCTGCCTTACACATTCAAATGCAGATGGCAGCCAAGCCTTTTAAGTTGCATGGATCACGAGAAGCTATGGATGGTTCTGAAAGAAATGGATGTGCATCAGTACTTGATCAATCGGACATGTAGCCTGTATCATGGACAAGAAACTACTTTTAGAATGGAATATGGAGAGTCAAAATGGTTTCCTATCGACAATTGCAGCAGACAAGGCTGCATTTTATCTCCGTCTGCTTGATCTGTGCACAAAACATTATCATAAGGAAAGTTGGTTAAGGTTCAGAGGAAGAAGGAATGACAGTTGGTGGAAGATGCATATTCAAACTATGCAGATGATATCATATTACTGGCAGAAAGCAGCAATGAATTGAAACAACTATTGAAAGGGAAAGTGGAAAGTACAGAAGCAGGACTGCAGCTCAGTATTAAAAAATACCATGAGTACAGGGGAAAAAACAACTTTAATGTCAACAATGAGGAAACTGAAATTGCAAAAGATTTTACATAACTTGGCTCAATCATAAATTGAAAAAAGAGACTGCAGCCAAGAAATCTGAAGAATGAAGCTTGGAAGGGCAGCATTGAAGAAACTGGAAAAGATCATTAAGTGTAAGGCCATTTCAGTAGATATCATCTATTCTATTGTATACTTGATCACTGTATTTGGGCATAAAAACTGGACAGTGAAGGAAACTGACATGAACATTGATGCATTCAAAACACGATGTCAGAGGAGAGCTTTGTAAATGCCCTGGAATCACAGAAAAATGAATAGGTGAGTCCTAGATCAAATCAAGTCCAATCTTTCCTGGGAAGCAAAAATGACAGAACTGAAGCTGATGCATACTAGGCTTATCATAAGAAGGCAAGATTCATTACAGAAGACAATAATGCTAGGGAAAGTTGAAGAAGAAAGAAGAAGAAGAGGAAGACCAACTAGGAGATGTATTTGATTACATTAAAGAAACCACAGGCTTGCATTTATAAGCCGCCCCATTAAAAATGTTTTAATAAATAAATAAATAAAATAAGAATTGAGAAAGGCTGTGGAAGACGAGACTTTTTGGAGGTCATAGGGTCCCTATAAGTCAGGAATGACTTGACAGCACGAAACAACTATCTGCAGGTACTTTTTCCCTCCCTTTTTTGGCCTCACTAGAAGCTGAAATAAAACTGCTCCTTAAGACAATTAACATAGTATTCAAATCATACAAGTAGTTGGCCTGTTATTACAGTATTTCATCAATAATTGCGGCACTTGCAGATCACAAGCATTTATTTTAATTTCATAGAGAATGTGTTGAGTTTTGACCCTTCTTATTGCAAAAAGGGTCAATATTTGGTCATGCAGAACATTATTAAGATTACTAAAGCTCTCAAAGGGAAAAAAAAAGATTTAGGCATGTGCACTGAACTTCCGAACCTGAGTTACTTTGGGAATAAGGACTAAGCTTAAATTCAATTTTAAAATCACTACTTTCATACTTAAAAAACAGTGATTAATCCTGTATGTGTTTTTACATCAAATGAAGTAATAACTTTGGGAGGCTGCATACCACAGGCCAAA